GGCTTCGTTCTATTTTTGCAGAGCTGCACGTGTTGGGAAACGGGTCCAGCATCCCTTGTGGTGTGAAGGAACACTAAACTACCAGTACGGTAGAGAGAGAGAGAGAGAGAGAGAGAGAGAGAGAGAGAGAGAGAGAGAGAGAGAGAGAGAGAGAGAGAGAGAGAGAGAGAGAGAGAGAGCAAACTTCCACGATCACAACTCCCGTGCCATGCAGATTAGAGGAATGACCCGGATCACGATGGCTTCTTCGATTCCCCCATGGCCATTCCATCTGCTTCTCCTCCAAACTCCCTCCCATGCAAACCATTACACGTGCTGCGCACTGACCGCCACGACCGACATCCTTCTCGAGACTCTGCTCATGGACTTCCACACGTCTTCCAAGTGTTTGGTAGGGAGGCTTGTCGTCAACAGCATCGGGGCAAAAGTGCATCTGAATTCATTTATGGACCGTTGTGGATGAATCTGGCCGCAAAAAAGCTCTCAAACCCAAACACTGGAAGTTCCGAAATCGGGCGGGGAGCACACCTCCAGCCGCCCGCTGAATCGTCCAGAACCGCCCTATGCTGCCCAACGGGAACACCCAAAAGAAAGCTGACGTGAACCTTTCCTGTAAACCCGGTCCGAAGCGCAGGAGAACAGGGTATCCAAAAATTCATCATCCTGATAGACAAAGCAATATCCAACTCACAAAAGGAGCTTGACCTCCCAATGTCCAAGGAGGGAATTTGGACAGCCCTCCTGGATATGGATGAGGAAAAAACGTCAGGACTGGACTCCTTCCCAAAGGGATCTTGGGAAGCCCTATGGAGAACATTGGCATCATACCTCATGGATTTTGTTTGTAGTATTTTCCGATAATCTACTGGTTAGGGGGAAGCCAGTTGAGGGACAAGACGTGGTAGCTTAGTGGATAAAGCTCTGGTGTTGCAACGGGGAGGTTGATCCTCAACCTCTACTGCGCACGATTAGTTGGTGTTAGTCATGTTAGTTATGCAATCCCCAAAGTTGTCCCCCGAGTTGGCGAAGCGCACATATGGATCAATTGATGTTGTAGCACAACAGGTTGAGCAAAGTTGTTATGTGAAGAAAGTCTAAGGTTCGATTCTGGATGGGAACAATTGGGGCAAAAACCTATTACAGCAGTGTGCAGTCACTACAGCAGATGAGAGCGGGAGAAGATATTTAGGGGAGGGGACAAAATGTGTCATTGGGTACCTATAGAGGGCAGGGTATCTCATGGAATGAGGGCGGGAGCATCGCTCTTTGGAGGGGCATCTTGGAGGGAGGTCGTAGGAGAGGGCATAAAGTAGAGAAGTAGCATATCCTGAACTACAAGGAGGTGGAGGGTGACAAGATAGCATGCGAGATAGGACGGGTTGTATCGTTTTGTGACGTGAGCACGTTAGGAGCTGAAAGGGTAGTTCAGATGATGGATTCTCGTGATGCAGTTACAGACTCGTACATTACGAGACTAGGGTTTTTTCGTACAGATAGGAATCACAATACACTGAATAGCACAACCATTACAGCAGGTTGTACCGACACACAAGAATGTACAATTGTGACAAATTACTAGCACAACTACAACGACTTGAATGAACAGCAGTGGCTTGCAAGGGGTCTAGTGAACAGTCGAGGTAGAGGGGTGGAGATCGGTCGAACATCTGCTGACGATAGGGTAGAACCCTTAGGTTGGAATATTAAAACTTAAACCACTAGTACCTTTGGAGATCGGTCGAACGTCTGCTGACGATAGGGTAGAACCCTTAGGTTGGAATATTAAAACTTAAGCCACCAGTGCCTTTCTCATAAATGGGCCTTTCGGGCCTACTGTGACCGCCACCACAGGACATAAACCTCTTAAACAAAACCAAGAGCGATCACATATGGCGCAGCACGAACCACACGTCCTACTCATGATCCTCTCCATGGTAAACCCCCTTGCTCTTCCTCTCATCACCGCTATGCACTTCAATGTAATAGAGTTGATTGGGTTGCACATCATGATCGGAACACTAATCTTTATGACGCGGGGCGTGGGTTTAAAAAGCGACTCCGCTACGTAGCAGCTACAACCAGGCGGAACAATTTGAACTGCAATTGCGAGGCATCGATCAGAGCCCCATTCAGCCAGGAAGGATGCTCTTTCAACCCCTAGGGTTTTTTATGTCACTATCCACATACCATCTGGTTGTGCATATGTTGGGCAAACCACGTACTCTGCTCACTATCGTTTGCACCAAAATTGGCATTCTCGCTATTAATCTCAAACAACTCACTCACGCGATCGTCATCTTTATCACTCCATGGCTAGGCAACCACCATTTTAGTTTATCGTTTGACCCTTGGAGTGCATAGACCCTCATCTCTACTTAAATGTTGATGGTTCCATTGATCCTGAATCATTTAAACGTGCAACTTTCCCTCGTGAAGGGTTTTGGGTCCGGCGCCTGACTGCCTTATACCCTCGGGGCTTCAACATCGTGTTGTTCTTCAAGGACGACCGCCTATTAGGCGATCTCATCGTTCGAACAGGTGGATTTGGTCGTGAGGTAGTCCAAATCCTCCCACGACTCGGCCCGCAACACACTTTCATGCAGATAGACCCTTCACGATTGATGCTATTGTAGGTCCATTCTGCGCTGTCCGTTCGACCCTACATCGCCTACTTATACAAGAAGCCAACTCAGAATGACAATCTATTTCTCGAGCCCTCTCCCGAGCCACCCTTGCCTGGCGCTCCCACTTGCTGCAATGGTTGCAAACAAATGTCTCAAACTCCGAGCTCACACTTAACATTCGTCAACTGGAGTGCATGATCCGTGGTCTGAAGTATTCACGACAACCATACGGCAGCCCTACACATGATCGGGTTCTGTTCCTAAATTTCATTAAGGTCATGCACATGCATCAGGTTGCTCGCACCACACAATTACCTAGCGTCCTTCGACTTCCAGAGGTTGGTGAATTACATCCATGGCCTGTTCTTGCCAAGGAAATACGTATTTGCGACAAGATGGTGCCACCCATACGTGTCCAGTTCTGTAATTTTACAGAAGTGGCATTCGACATAACAAGCAATATGCCTCTTCCAGACCCTGGCAATTGTCCTTGTCGACAAGTATTCCCGCAATGTGTAGACATTGTTGATGGTCATGTAGCCACAGTGGACTACACCATTATACAAGATACACACTTACGGGCTCTCTTCATTGAAGGCTCCAAGTACCGCCTCAATGCCAACACCACAGATGCGATGAAAGCATTAAAACCTGGTCTGGACGAGTATATTGCCAAATTTATAGCAACCATGAGATCAACACACAATAATGAGTCTTTGATTGTTGATAGTCTCTCTCAGCTGCGCGGATGGCGCACACCAGTTTTTTTAAGATGCTAACAGAATATTACTGCCTCACCGTACCAAGCACCTACTCAAACTGCCTCGTGTGCTGCCAACACATCTCTACAGAAGCTACAACAACCATTCGCTATAGTACCTGTCGATAAAACATAACACAACATGGCAATTTGCTGCAAGTGCTGGTACGGATACAACTTAACACAACATGTTGACAGTTCCACCTACAATCAAGCATCGAAGATTGTGGCCAGCATTCTCGAACGCAATGCACTTTTCAACCAACGTTGGGGCTATCGACATACTAACACCCTGCCCTATCTCTACTTTGCACTCAAAGCACACAAATTTCCACCTGCCCTTCGTCCGATTCTTGGAGTTACACAACCAAACAACCTTTCCCGATCTGCACCTTGCACAACACCTCACCGACCTTCACTTACGGACTTGCACAACTGACCCCCTCATAAGCCTTTTGCAAGTGTACAACAATGACCTCCCGCTCACTTAGATACGCCCTTCAAGGTGTGATTAAGTCCCTGCATAGTAAGGATAATGAGCTTTATCAAGAAAGTGGTGTACGGCGTTGCTGGATCGTGCAAAGTGTTGAGCAAGTCATTATGGATCTCAAGCACAATGCACAATCCCTTGGAGGTTGTACACCACATACAGCGGACTTTACAACTATGTACACGAACCTGCCACACGCCAGGATTCTTAACAATGTTTTGATGTTATTCGTGAAGCACATGATTATGCTTTGGGGCGATCTCACAGGGCAGAAGGCCAGTACGGATGCACATGACCCTAGGAGGGTCCTCATCGTGGGGAGTGGGTTACTTCACATGGGTCAAACACCCTCTCGGTGTCAGAAATAAAACAACATCCGCGGTTCGTGGTCACTAATGCTGGACCAAAAATTGCCAACCTCATGCCTTATTGGGACGAAGCACAGTTCATCGATGATCTTCGTCATCAAGATTTGCGTGCTGTGCAAGCATATGCATTCACATACCGATTCATTGATGACATTCTATGCCGGAAGACATTACCGTCGTCTTCTGCTCGGTATGGTCTTGAGTGGAAAGACACTACTGAGCAGGATGGGTCATGTCTTTTCCTTGGGGCAAGAATCCTGGTTCGGCCTGATGGCTCACTTCGCATTGGCGTATTTGATAAGGCCGAGACCTGGAGGTTCCCTGTCATACGTTATCCTAGTGCTTCCCCCAACGCTTCGGTTCATCAGGCGGCAGGTATGCTCATGGGACGACTAACGAGATTCGAACATACATGTAACAATACCACCGACTTCAAAGCGGCAGTGACTTCCCTGACATGACGTATGCTTGTCAGGGGCCATCCTCCCAGGGTCCTGGCTAGAGGTTGGACTGCATATGTGTGTGGCCGACAACGCCGGCTACCAACTCATGTCACACGACTTTCGAACTGGTTTCACCGAATGGTTTGTTGGGCAATTGCTCACCCGCTCCCGAAAGCTGATTCTGTGCGCAGGTCCACCACCGAACCGCACACAAGAGACCACCACTCATCGCCTGACACCCATGTTGACTGCAGCCAGCATCAGCCCTCCGTACGATCAAACGCAGACAGCCCGCCCTCCCTTGTTATCCGTGCTGAAATGGTAGACGCTAATGTCGATATGCCAACTCAGACATAGATCATGCCAGCCGCATTAAACAATGTGAACGTTATCGAAATGGCAGTAAGGGATGAAGGCCAGCATCCTACCAATACAACGACTGTTGTTGTTGCCGCTGCGGCAGAAGGTATACCTCCTCCGCCGCCACTGCTGCCACTACCTCCGCCACCACAACCCCCACCACCACAACGCCCACAACCACCACCGCCATCATTGCCATCAGTATCAGCAGCACCACCACCATCATCACCGCCACCCCCACCGACGTCCTTTATTGCATCATCATCTTCTTCTCCTTCCTGTTTCCATACTTCTTCCTCTTCTTCCTCGTCATCGACCTCATCATCAACGCACTCATGGTCAAATCGGTTGTCACAAAGGCCCTGTCAGCCGAGGTATCAGTTGTTAGATCGATCGTTACAGATGCCTCTTCAGCGGAGACGTTTCCCGTCTCCACAGCAGCCTCCAAGACAGCGGCCTCGTTTGTCGTTGAATGGCATGATCACCGCCCCTCCTGCAGCGGTTAGAGATCTGCTCCGGCGACATGCTCGCAACTGTACGGAACGAGACCGTTGCTTTCAGTATACACTAGCGAGGAATAGTGCACATAGAGTCCGATGCCCGCAATGTGGCGATGGTTTCTTCAGTGCTGCAGGCTTACGAGTGCACCAGACACGAGTTGCAGCTACTTGTGCAGCCTTTGCAGCCTTTGCACGACTAGCAGCCGCCCTGAGCACAAGTGAGGCTGATCAGCTTCCGATTCCCACATCTGGTCCACCTAGTTCTCACCCACCTGACCGGCCCCTCTCTCGTCCACCTAGCCCCGCCTGCTCCCCTTCCCCAAATGACAATGACCTGTCTCCTGATTAGCTGATGGAGCCCCCGGTTGAAGATCATCTCTCCTCAGAGCACATACCGGAGCCAATTGGTCAAGACCACAACGAGTCTCCGCCACCTGTGCAACCTGCAGAATCGCATGAGGATCCCCCCTGCTGTGAACGGATCCCCTACGCAACCTGCGGAAAAAAACAATGTCATAGCGCTTCAGCGAGGGCGCTGTGCGTACTATGCCATTAGTGTATTTCTCCTTGCTTACAATTGTAATTCTTATATTGTTTCTGATTTCGCCGACGTTGTTTGCTGGATAGAAGAAGAGCACCGTGCCGTATGCTCAGAGGACGACAACGCTGCGCCTGGTGTGAACATAGAAGTCCTGGCTATGGCATTTATGGGTAGGCAACTGCAATTCCAGCCTGCTCCGCAAAACCACGTGTTAGGCAGGAATCCGAATATTCGGGCATATATCTTATATCGTCTAGGTCACTTCAGTGCTCTTACCTTTGCAGATAATTCATGGACCCTATGGGACAATGGCACACAGTGGGAAATATTGACACTTCTATCACCAAATGCTGAAGGATCACTCAGTCTGGCTTGTCCATCAGAAGCAGTACGTCGATGAGCACTTGCAAGCACTGCACCCCCCGGAGAGCAATCCGGCTGATTCTACCACAAACAGTGAAAGGACCTCTCCACAGGATTATGGCTGTGCCCTCCCGTTGTGTCGTCGCACAGGTGCAGTTCGGTTGGCATGTACACGACATAGCCTCTGCTCCGAACACTATAAAGGGATGGTCGCTGCTAGCCTCTCACACGGAAATTGTGATCCCCTGTCCTGTGCTCAACCCCCCCACCCCCTGATTACTTGCCCAGCATGCCGTTGTGGCTTTGGTTTGCAATGCTTAAATAACTGTGCACGTCAGCCTTCCATACTAATAACATGTCAGCAAGATGCCATGTGTCGTCAATGTTTCCAGGAAACTGTCATAGAAAGTATGCGTCTTTACTGCATGGACTATCCCCGGTGTCATCACCCTCCACATCCTCTCGTAGCATTTCCCACATGCGGTGTTGGTCATACACTTACGGCAACCGCTGATGGATCTCCCTCTCTTGCCAGACGAACGACGGACACAGCAGTCCGAGGAGGAAAATAGACTTCTATATGAACCACCGGCAGAGCGATATGCTCATAGTTGATAACCACCAGGGCGAGCTGTTGCGGATAAAATCCTGCAGCAGCTGAACGCCCTTGCGTCGGACCGATCCTCCCTGTCGTCGTCTGCCCATAGGGAAGGAATACATACTGAGGAAGCCCAAGAAAGATGCTCCATGCCGCTTTGTGATGACCCGCCGGAGATTCAACTAGCATGTGGTTCGCATGCCTTGTACCGCGAGGATTATGAAGGGATAGTCCATGCGAGTTTTTGCTTCCATACATACGCTGGCAGTCAGTGTACTCATGTACGGCACCCCGACATGTCATGTCCAATTTGTAGACGGGCTGGAACGGCAATGCCTCTATAATTGCGGTCGACGTGCCTCTGTGTTCCTAGCATGTACGAGCCACGTAGCCTGTGACATCTGTCTGCACTGGCCATTCGATGCAGTAACTGCGACTGCGAAAATTGGATGTGGTGCTTCCATAGCCCACACCCGAACCGGTCCTGTCCGGTCTGTAGGGGTGGCCACTCGCCATAGGTTTTCTTTTGCTAGAGTAGTCTGTTTCAGCGGTGAATATTTAGAAATCTGTGAAGCTCGTCATACACCTCTCCCCTGCTCTTTGCATGTCATACTCTATCCTGCCCTCCACATATTTCTTTCCTTCCCGTTGCCCCTACCTGCCCTGCCCCATACTCCTATAGAACTCCGCCTTCTATCCCTTACCCTCCACCCTCCCCTCCACTCCTTTTGTGCTACTAACAAATACATACGAATGAGCATCATTATGAGAACAGACGATATGAAGATCAGAAATGAAATGAATGGAACTATTAAGATGAAGGACGGACACAAAGGCTGTATAAGCTGAAGATCTAAAGTGAAATGAACAGGAGTATGAAGCTCTGAAGAGAAGTGCACAGGAGCATACCTTCCCTTTTACTCTGCCTCCTGAAATAACGTGCAATTGGGCCGTAAAGTCACACGGGGATGCCGGCAGCTGCCGCTCAACCACAATCAACGTGGGCAGCCTTGTGCAACCAAAAAACTGCCTAATTATAAACTTGCTTTAGTATGTTGGACATCTCAAATGGTCTCGTTGTCTGCAATAGGACAAAAACTGCTTTGATTCTGAATCCATTCATCTGGGTGGAATTGGGGCTATTGTGGGGGAAATCTAAAACACACACACACACACACACACACACACACACACACACACACACACACACACACACACACACACACACACACACACACACACACAC